ACTGCCGTCATCGCCATCCTGATGTGAATTGTGAAGGCAAATGTTCTTAATTAAAATGGAGGCGTGATGGTCTAGCTTTTGAGTACTGTATTCCTAAATGCAGCTACTAATAATCCTCCAAAGTCCCTGCATTTATGTATTCTGGGACCAACAGCAAATTCATCTTTTGTACCATCAAGACCATTAATTTTTGTGGCTCAGAACACAACCACTATTACTGCATACTTAGCACAATATCCCTTTACCACTTTATTCGGGGTTTTACGGAGGGACAGTCGGGATATAATTTTCGACGTTAAACGAAGGAAGGAAATTCCTTAAAGGGCAAGTAGGTTGGTGTATCGCAGGGTGGGTAGTGTATGCCGCGGTTGTTATTGGCCGGACAAGCAAGGGTGTCATTAAGTGTGTGTGGTGAGGACGGTAGGTGTTTGATGAGGGCGGTAAGTGCATGGTGAGGACGGTGGGTGAGTGGTGAGGATGGTGGGTGAGCGGTGAGGATGATGGGTGAGCGGTGAGGGACGGTGGGTGAACGGTGAGGATGGTGGATGAATGGTAGCATCCTAAACATGGTGTGGAGGACCACACAACCAGCGGTCATTATAGCCTTACATGGTGAGGGAGGGGTGGGTAGGCCCTGGGATTTACACTGCCACAGTCTCGCTACTACCACACGCTCCGTTATGCTCTACCCTTGCTTGTTAACACGCTTTGTCTGATACATGTACGTTAGAATACTCGTGTTCTTGCTGTGTACGTAATGCGTGCTTGTGGGCGTGTAGATTTTTTTCTGTACTTTATTATTTTCACTAGTAGCCTGTGTAACTACACTGCCCAGGATAATGTTATCATTTTCAAGGAGTATTTGTTTACGTCGTACCCCCACCCACCCCAACCACACAATTCATAACTTTGTAAGTATTTCTATCTATAATATGTAAGCGTATACGGTACATCATTGTAGCTGAATACTCGTCGACCATGGGGTTTGAGCTTGAGACTAGCTGACACCAGGTAGTCAAAGGTGATATACACTACATCAACCTGTGGAGGTTAGCGATGAAGTTTATGCGTCCGAGGAATAAGTTTGGTGTAGTGACAAGAGAGGGCCAGTTACTGGGGGTCCTGTGGGAGGTATGGTGAGTATTAACTGTTCTAGTTCAGCTTTGATTCGTCACTGTGATGCTGTAAGTGAAGGTGATGTAACATTGGAAATGTGTGTGTGTGTGTGGGGGGGTGGGGGGGGGGGGTGCGTCACAGTGAAGGTAAAAGGCCGCTCAACAAACGTACAGTGAGTGGGAGAGTATGATGGAGGAGCGGAAACAGGAGATAACTCGGGTGTCGCGCGTGGGGGAGATACCCTCAGAAGCTCCTTAGTCATATTCTCCCCTTAAATGGAGAAGTAAAGACACAATAGTTGACTAACTTAATCGATGACAGTCAAAATGGCATTAAAATTATACGGAAACTACAATAATTAAATGCACCTTATTCCCGGTGTAGGAATAACATTATTCGGTGTAAGGTAGCTTTTTAATCGTGAGAATCGAATCCTGGGACAGGAATGCTTGGAGTTTTTAAGGTTCACTACTAACTCTTGGTCCTGTTTATGTAGCTACGTAACTGTAGTACAGTATTAATAACACCACCTTCTGCAGCTTTGGGCCAAACATTCGGTCTAGCTAGAGCGACACAGGTCTATTTTGAAGTGACTTGTTTCATCCACATATTAATGTAAAGCTGGCAAACCCATCTTTGTAAACTGTGAATCGGTCAGTGTTGTGCTTGTGCTTCTGTATTATGGTAATAATATGGTGTAGCAAGGGGGGAAGGGAAACCTTGAGTCTGTCTATTTGAGCTGTAGTGAGTGTGCTTTTGAGCGAGTGTTATGACTGTGGGTTTAATATATCATGACTTGCATCTAAACGAGCAACAGTATATTGGAACACGACTAAAAGTGAAGTGTGACGTGGAAGTGTCACTTATAGTACACTTACAATGAGGTGATGTGAAACTTAAAAGCATTCATTCAAAAGTTTTGTGGCTTCCAGGAGAGAAAGAAAGAGAGAAGGGCAAGATTTCGTCATAAACTTAAGGAACGTTTGGGCACGATCCAAGTTGGACCACCGGTGTATGAGAAAAGTATTAGTATACGAACAGTGAAGACTTATTGTGAAAAGCAAATACTTGTGGTTGAGGAGTACCATGTGAATATGATGGTGTATGGGTGAGCCGTGTGCTTCTTGACGGTACCTACCACCACCACCACCACTACTACTACTACTACTTATATTATTACTATCATCACAACCATCACCATCATGACCAGCGTGCTCACCAACCTGGCCGGCCTCTCACTGAGGGAGCCTCCCCCGGGTAAGATAGAGATCTTGCAGGACCTTGACCTCTACTACATCAAGCAGCTGGCACATAACTTTAAGGTGAGTCCTTCCCTTACCATTTACAGGTGAGTCCTCCCTTGACCATCTACAGGTGAGTCCTCCCTTGACCATCTCCAGGTAAGTTCTCTGGTCATCTCCAGGTGAGTCCTCCCAGCCTCTGTGAACTAGAGGCGAAGTCCAGCCCTGTTTTGGTGATTGATCTGATGATCCAGTCATAATAGAACACCAGCCTTGTTGCGTCCCAACCTAATCATTGAGGATTGGTCCCCGGTCCTGGGTTGGACTCCACCTGACCTCCACCCTCCCTGTAACCACCCACTGACCACACCTACAGTACAGTATATCGTCTACACAGATCCAGGAAGGAAGTCTCCAGCTATTTTGATCTTGAACGGCAGCTGGCAGGATTTTGTGGAATGTTGTGTTGTTTTACTCTCTCTCATTAACAGAGAAGTAAAAAAAGATACTTTGGTGCTCGACTCCCACAGCCCAGGTGTGTTTTGTCTCCCGTTCGTGTTGTTGATAAGGTTGTTACCGCCGAACACTGAGTGAAGTGGGAGAGGTAAGTGAAGGTGTGTGGGCAGTCGTCTTCTGTGTGAGCGCGTGTAAGGTGGCGCCACCAAGGTGAGTTGTCTGTCAGAAGAGATGAGTTGATCTTCGTATTTACCATATAAATATGTGTGTGTTAGTTGGGACATGATAGATTTTCTTTTGGTTTATATCAGTTAACGTAATACAGGCGAACATCAGTTTGTTGTGACTGATTTCTTTCCCGGTGATTCGAAAGGGGTTTTATGATGTTATATACCAGAGCTTAACTGTAAAACTTTGGCTGTTATCGAGGACTTCCATGTAAAGCTTCTTGTTACTGTAATTCTCTTTAAATGAAACTTATGTAACATTTTATTGTTATAAATATTTGATTACGTAATATTAAGTGTTTTATGGGTATATTTATTATTTAGATTAAGTTATGAGATAAACCTGGATAGACTAGTGTTTCAGCCCTTAATTACCTGTATAAGAGATAGTTAAATGTGAGAGTGAAGCAGCTACTCTCACTGTATAAGTTCAGCCACTATCACTCCTTCACAACGTTCCCTCATGTCCACTTTGGCATCTCTGTTCCTTTACATCCTTCCCTCCTCCCCCACTTCTTCCCATATCCTTCACGCCCCTCTCCAACTCTCTCAATCCTTCCCTCACATTCCTCTTGGTGTTCCTTCTACACACCACTCCGGATGACTCCTCCTTCACTTCATATTGAACACTTAACTCTTCCATGTGAGCACGCTTATACTTGAAATTGGTGTGGTTGAGGGACTAAAGGAGAGTGTTTCATGACGTGGTGTGTGTTGAGGAAGGAGTGTTAGGTGTGGGAGGGGGGTGTGCGTGAGTGTTTACACATTCATCAGCTGTGTGTGTAACAATAACTTAATATGGGTGTAGTAAGAATCATTCGTTTAGTTACTGAGGGGAATCTACCAGTTGCCCAGTGATGGTGTAATACTTCTCGCTACTCCGTCAACATGCTGCTACGTTCAAGAGCCCTACCGTCACGTGTTATCCTGGCTGGCTAGAGTGATAATTGTAACCTAATTTTTCTGTTTGTTATTTTTATTTACATTTAAGACTATTGTTACTTTCTGACAAAAAAAATATTGAAATTCAGGTGTGTTTTAGACGTGACTCGTTCTGAGTATATACTGTATAATGTGAATGTATGGTAATGAGCTGTGATAGTGTAAATGTGTGTGTACAGAACGTTTGTAGTACAAGTATTTCAGCGGTGGCACTTAAACGTTTGGTGGGATGGATCATTGTGCGTCGCTCTGCTCTGATACGCTTTCGACGGTGAATAAGTGTGATAATTTGAATGGTGACAGGAAAGTGCTGACTAGTGCGCGGCGATAGTGTAACGGTTGACTGGTGTACGATCGACAGTTAGGGTGGTGGTGACGTTGGTGTTTGTCAGGACAGGACAGCTGGTGTGTGTGTGTATCTCCTGGTGCGGTACTTACTGTGATATTGCATGATTTCCTTGATCGTTCGGGCCACACGGGGCGTGCCCCGCTGGTGTATTTGACTTCACAGTTGGAGTTGCCACTTTCATTTTACCATGGTAAGTTGATGGCTCAGCTTAGTATGATTTTTTTAACTCCACTTTGATACTAAGATTCACTCTGATGTTTCTACCTTGTGTTTCATTTATACATGTCAAGCAACACTAATTCAGTCATCCTTCCCCTTCATAAAGGTTTGTATACGTTTATCCACACCACATAGAATGGCAGGGCAGTAATAATACTAATAATATAGTTCTCTATGTCAAGGTGTGACTTGATCGAGTGATCTAGGCCTTGGTGTGACCTTTTTAGACCGTGTGACGTGTTACGAGGTGTGTAGTTGGTGTGTTATGTAGAGTGTACCTGTACTGTACGGTATATTTGTGTTGTATTGGGTGTCGTATCTTCATAATTATTTGTATAGTGGAATAACGTGTGTCTTTGTGTTTACAAACATAATATATTTTCAAATATTTATCATGTTAAAACTAGTAGAGTATGTAGTGAGTTAGTAACATTATTGTTGTTGTTTTAGGAGTATGACCTGGAGCAGAGGATCGCGTTGGAGATCAAGATGCGTGAGGGGACCACCAAGCTCCTAGCAGCATGTGGAGCCCAGGGTCCCCGCGCCAACCTTCCCCATACCCTAGAGGCCGCCAAGAACCTCCTCACCTCCAACGAGCGTATGACTGCTTACATGGCCGAGCTGCAGAGGAGGAGGAACTCCTCCATCCCACACGACGGGTGAGTAGCCCTGTCAAAATAAGGCTCTACAGTATATTGTAGATATAAAGTTTTGTTAAGTTAGCTATCGTGAATTGTTTGTGTTATGGAATTTCATGTAAACAAATAATTTAATGAAACATTGCATATAGTAATATGTTGACAGTCGTGACAGGTTGAGTACCGTACTATAAATTACGGTTTCGTTCCTCTTGTTTTTCGTGAATATTTTCCCGTGTGGTTTAAGAAACTGCGTACAGTAAGTAATCCTGTAATTAATAATTGATTTTCATTCAATTTGACCAAGGACAGCGACAGAGCCATGGGAGGTTTATTTCCAGTAGAATCATGCCAGCCTCATTTGGTGTTCTTAGGGCCAGGTGGTCACCATTCAAGTACTGTTCTACTAACCGGACCCAACGTTGTTAATAGATTTGCGGATCATATTCCAGGGTAATGGTTAACCAGTGCAGGTGACGAGTTGTCCGGTCTTCTCGGATTATTCCTTGACACTGGGTCATGCAACTCGGTAATTTAGGGTGTGGTTGTTTTGTTGGCTTCAGCTTCTACACCGTAAACAAATTCAACATTATAGACTTGGAAAATGATGCAATCTTTAACTATTGGTAACGGATAAACAGGACGTTATGTGGAGTCTTTAATTTTTTTTTCATTAACTGGATTATTTGAGACACGGTACAAAGTATATACGGTATGGAGCTGCCTTGAGCCGGTGATCTAGGTTAGCATGTCAAATTCGTCACTGGAGAACAGCCCGGTATGGCTGTTACAAAGCGAAAATAGTATGTCAGTAGAATTGTTTTTCTCGTTAATTAACCATTAATATCAACTACAGTATTCACCGAATATATCCCCCCGCCAACTCACTAGATTGCAAGATGTTGTAATCGCTAGACTAAGGTTAGGACATAAGTACCTCTGGCAGTATGTTCCTTAAGCAGATGTGAGCAAGACTAAATGTAAAGTGTGTGGCCAGACATATGGCCACACACTTGAACACGACGTCCTCGACTGTGTGAAGATAGAACCTTTTAGGGACGGGTCCAAGCACACTGTGTGTGAAATGGCACAACACTTCATCTCTAATGGCAAGATAGCCGACATAATTATTAAGATTGTATTCACTTTTTTGCACTTAGTAGCTATATCAGCTCCCATGTATAGAACCAAACACACATTGTGCTTGAATACCTCTCACGCAGATGTGAATAACAAAGTGTGCGGCCAGACATATTGCCTCACACTCCTGTACTCACGCAGTTGCGAATAAGTTACCCTTTATGTATAGAACTAAACAAAGAATTTATTTGAAATACTGTGTAACATTCAATGACATAAAATCCTGAACATGGGTTTTAGTTATTCTGACCCTTTGTAAACCCTACTCTAATCCTTTTGAGCTACCGCTCACAAGATGCGTATGGGGTGCACAATAAACTAGCTGCTGTAAGTGGCAAAATCAAATAAAAAATTATGACTAGATATTGATTAATAGGTGCTCATAAGGATGCCAAACAACTCTAGGTGTTCATAATGAAGCTTAGTGACATGAGGTAGCTCATAATGACCCAGAATGTATCACAGATGCTCATTTTGACACCAAATGATCTATACAGTAATCTATCTCCTTTTGTTAACAGATCACAACCATCTCTTGCTCGAGTGTGTCTGTCAGACCTCCGCATGCCACTCATCTGGAAGGACAGTGATCACTTCAAGAATAAGGGCGACTACCGTAGGTAAGGAACTGTTGTTTTTTATTAAATTTTTATTTTTTTTTAGATATTGTGTTAACTACCGGTACTGTACTCCAGTAATTTGGTCCTGCTTCTCAAAGATTTTTACCAATAATGTTCCTTAAAAGTGAACATGTAAGAATGTGTTTTAAGTTAATCACAAAAATGGTATAAAAAATGTCCTAAATATTACATAAATTATTGTGCAAAATATCGGTGAAATTTTGATGCTGTTTTTACTTTTTGTGCTTTACCTTAAATCAACCAGGTAGATATATTTTTAAATGCTCATGGATGAGGAATATTGATTGTTTGAACCCTTGAGAACCAAAACACATTACCCTGTATGTGGCATCATTAAGCAGAAGTTGTTATTGATACAAGACCAAATTGTTATTTTAAAATTATACCTCATGTTTTAATGATTGAGGTTGTAAATGACTAGGTTAAGTTGTTTTTAGATGTAAAGATTCTTTCATCTGGGCGAAAGCACCAACTTTAACCTGTAGTGCTGTACCTTATTGGATACTTAGATCAGTATTTTTCATAATTTTCTGAAAGTTTATGAATAGAATACTTATTACAGATACAGGTATACAGGCAGTCCCCGACTTACGACTGGGTTAGGGACCCAAATCCAGGTCGCATGTCGAATTGGTCGTAAGTCGGAAATGCAAAAAATAATACATGGAAAATCTAAAATGAAATACTGTACAGTAAAAGTAATCAATAATGAAAAATGAATAATGTGTTACTGTGCACTTACCAATAATTTTTTAGTTAAACATGGAGACTACATTAATTGGATGAAGCAGAGGAGACGGCTGGGTGGGTCATCAATGGCACTTTCTTCAGACAGGCTAACATACTTGCTTGTTGAAGGTATTGGATCATGTTTTGGGAGTGAAGAGGCAGCAGTGGTGGGGCATGAGTAGACAGCAGTGGGGGACTCTTTAAAACATATGTCCAATTTAGACTGCACAGTTTGCCTTTTCTTTTCATTGTAAATATCCCTGTAGCAAGCAAGTGCATCTTGGATCATTCTGTCAACTTTTGCAAAACGCTCAACATTTTGATCCATTTCGTCAAACATTTGCATCCCTTTATTAAGAGTAGCAAATGCCTCTGCCATTTGTTTCTTCTGAGCACCACCAGAACTCTTACTTTTACGCTTGCCAGTCATCTTAAAGGGAATTAGAACCGAAAATATTGTCAGTACACAGCACGATCACTACCGACAACAACGACGGCCAAACACCAACTGAGCGCGCTATGGCGTGGACGCTGTACACCACGAGGCGGCCCTGCCCACGCCATGCTCTCGTACAGGACGGAAAAGTTTCGGCACTTGAAAATACGTACCTAATTTTTAAAAATTCTGGTATGACTGAGGCGGTTGTATGTCCGGGTGGTCATATGTCGAGTAGGTCGTAAGTCGAGGAGTGCCTGTACCTATATCTCATTTTTTTTTTTTAGGTTTGCCGTGTTTGTGCTTCTGAAGATTGGCACGGAGATCTACGACACAGTCATGGTCAACCCCGTCGACCGCTCCATGACTGACATCTGCTTTGATGATATTATTGTTTTGTAAGTCATATCTTAATTTTTCTTGTTAATTATTTGCACCAATTTATACCTTCCTCTTGTATCCAGAATCTTTTCTTCACACCCATATAAAAATATCTCATTTTTGCTGCTTCAATTAGTATGGTTCTCTCTCAGTGTATTTGTATCTTTATTTTCCCCCATTACTCTTATGGTTCAGATTATCACTTATTGTTCCATATGCAAATTAATATATATTTTCTGTCTCCCTTTTTTACTTAATTTTCATCACTTTACCTTTTTAATTGCTCACGGTTACTAGCATTTGTGACTTCTTCTGATTTATCCATTAAAGCAGTTTCACCTGTAAAAAAATAGCTGGCTCACCTCTCATTTGCATCCTGTATCATTATTTGCCAGACTTATATTCCTCTCCTTCACTTTCTTCAGCTTTTCAGATATTAGAGACCATGGCAACATTACTGCATATCTAGTTTTCTTTAAAAATAAAATAAAATAAAAAACTCAAAACTCACTGTACTTCACTCTCCCTCTAAAAACTCAGAACAGTACCTGTATTCAACAATATTTTTAGAATATTATCCCATTTACTTTCAGTACTTCTCACATTGCTTTTCTGCCATATTCATCATCAATTTTTACTGGACATTAAAATGATGCTAATAAATTTGTCCATTTTTTTTTCAGAATATTTTCATTCTTGTACAGTACTTTAATACAAACATTTAATTTCAGTCTTTCAGTTAATTTAGTTTTTATCTCAAATGTAAACCTTTTATTTTATTATTATATTTTTAATTTTTTCCAGCAACAACATTCAGTCCAATTTTGATTGCAATCTTGAGGTATACAGCCATGTACTACAGAATGACCTGACCATGGCCAGCACTCCTCGCAAGCTCAAGAGAACCTTACATTCCTCCATATCACGCACAGTGGGGCGCAAACTGGCGGCTTCACTGAGGGACGAGTTGTCCAACGGAGAGATGTAAGTATTTGGGCTTAGTTTATTTATTATTTATTTGTTTTTCCTGTAGTAACTAGTTTTAAAGTGGATATAATTCCATAATTTTTTTCTCATTCTGTAAATAGATTTTAATAGGCATGTACAGTACTGCATATTGAATTTTTCCTTATGTGGATTACTTGGTGTGTAACCAGTTTGGTTAATATAGAATTCCAGTTAGTCATTAAAGTACCCTTAACCAGACATGATTCTCACTAAACCAGATATTTTCAGGTTACTTGTACTGTACAGTATGCAGTACATATTTCTTTATTTTGTTTATGTAACCTTAAAAAATTAAACTAAATCATAGGAAAATGAAGAAATTCAGCTCATGGAAAATATTTTGTTGTGCATGCTAGTTTGCAGTACAAAATTCAGTCTGCAAAGATTTTATGCTATTTTCTTTTAAATTATGATTTGCTAAAAGGAGAATTTGTTACAGTTTTTCATATTATTATTATTATTATTATTATTATTAATTTCATAGTTTAATCTTTCACATATTTTCTTACAGGGGTCCAAAATTTGAGTTGGTAGCTACAGCCAAGCTTAGTCTAGATAATGTATCCAACAACACAGCAACATTTGATCTTGCCATGGAGAATATTGGTAAGAAATAACATAGTGATTGTTTTCTTGGTGTTTTTACATTAAACAAATTTTAACAGGATTAGTTTTAAGCCCTCAGTAAAATTTAAAATACAGTATAGAAAGCCCTCTAAAAAATTTGTATACTTTATACATTATAAAGCTTTCAGTAAATTTCTAATATGTACAGTCCATTGTAAATATATAATTTATATAATATATAAGTTCTCTGTAAATGTCTGAGATATAAAGCCTTTACTAATTATCTTATGTATAAGTTCCTGTTTTATAGGATTTTTTACTCTAACCTTTTCTTGTTCAAAAGATGTACTGTAGACAATATACTGTGTTTATATATATATATATATATATATATATATATCGAAAATTAGGTGGAAGTGTCTTATGCTTTCCCATTCTTAATGACTCCTTAACTTAGTGGTAGGGATAAATTTCTTAGCAGAAGGAAGACTGGGCTCTGTTCTTGTACACTAGCCCCTGCATACTCAACAATAAAATGAGTACTGTACAGTACACTATTGGATGGGCTTGCTGATGGTGTGATAACAACCCTTCAGTGAGCTAATATCTTGATAAGGGGCTGGGATAATCAACTAGTTGCTGAATGCTTATCATCTGGGATCAGCAGGAGAGGGCTTGTGAAAAAAAAAAAAATTTAATATTCACGGATAGTTTCTAGAAAAGAGAAGGGAGAATCACCTACATGGATGAATGGAGTATCGGAAGTTCTGTATACGTACTAGAAATAAGCGGATAGAAATTTAAGGAAATTACAGAGCACATGAATGGTAGGAGAACATGGTGCTGAGTGTGACGGAACTTTCAGGAATACTAATCAAAAGCTTTTTTTATTGCAGAGAATCAAGTTAGTCAGTTACCACTGTTTGGTCACTTCTGTTGTCGTCTGGCAGCCCAGCCTGATTGTTCTACACAGGAGAGAATTGCTGGTTATGCTCATGTTCAAGTAAGTGTCAAATTTTTTTGGTAAATCAGCATTAATGAAATGCTTTAAAAATTTCAAGTTTCAAATGTTCTTTAGTATTCTTGACACCAAACCTGGAAAATTTTTATTAGATTGAGAAGAGAGCCAAGACTGATGTGTTTTGTTATAATAGAACAAGCTACAGCAGTAGACTAAGACTGAATCCCTTGTGTTACATATTGTAAAAAAATTCTTACATATAATTTGTAATCATGTTCATGAGATCCTCATATAGAAAACTGAATTTTTTCTATGAAGATTGGAGAACCTAACTAGATAATAGTCTGGAATATGGTTGAGTATTTTGGGGATTCACCTGTCCTTCCAACTTTTTATTGACTTGCTGTTCATTGTTCATTCATCAGTGGCCATATCTCAGATAGCTATACGCTATATTTATTTCAAATTTAGAAAATAAGTGAGGCCTTTTGTAATCCATTTGCAAATCAATTTATTGCGAGATCTGTTTTGATAAAGGCCAACTGATATTCATTTCTTCATAAAGCCCCTATACAGTTATGTATTAATTTAGGGATGCATAGATGGTTTTATTTAAATTTGGCAACAAGGTGAGACATTGTATCCTCCATTGAAGCATCTTTTTATTTTTTATTATGATTTAATATGTCCAGCTGATACTCAATTCTTTTTTAGGTCCCTGTTAGATTGGAAACTGCCTCTGAAAAAAGTATTTTATATTTCTATTAAAGCTGCAACTGGATGAACTTTTGTGTCAACAGGAAAGTGAGCACCAGCAGTCGTGGTGTCGGGTATCTGGGTGGCAGCTGGAAGTGTGGGGCAGCAAGGAAGATGCACACCTCTCCCCTCACCATCCCCTCTCACTCTCCATTGACAGGGTAGGCTCACCTTCCCCCATGTGTTTATTATTACTCTTGTTATCCAGTCATTTTGTGTAATTACGTACTTTATCCATCATTATGTTAATTATCCTCTTATCCAATCATAATGATAATTACCCACTTATTATCCAATTGTAATGTTAAACACCCTTGTGTTATTATGTTTTATCACTCATTATCCAGTTGTTATTTAAATACTGTAATGATTAATTATCCTGAGCAATTTTAATGGGAGAGAGTGAGTAGTGGCTGGGAGATTTTTACCTAGGCAAATAGGTGTAAATACTGTAAGTGAAACAATATTATCTATCTAGAGTTTTCAGCAAAGGTGCCAGGTATATAATATTTATGTATTTTCCACTTGAGTTTTAGTTGAGATATACTGTATTTATGTACAGTTGCCTACAGGTACTGTATTGTGTTTCACCCCCCAATGGCCTTTCCGAACATGTGGCAACATCGGAATTACTTTATGAAGGATTCAGTAACATGTGAAGAGATCTCCTCATGTTACCGATTCAGTCATAAAGTGAATACCACATGTTCAGAAAGGCCACCGAGGGGTGAAACATTATACCTAGGGGCAACTGTACTTACTTAAATTTATAATTACTCATTACCTTTATATTATAATTTCAAGTACCACTTGTCAAGATATGGATCATGAGGTAGAGGAGTAAAGTTGAGAGTTCAGGAGATAATGTTTAGAAGTAGAAAAAAAGGTTTTAGAATAGTGAAATAGTGTTTAAAGTATTTGTTGACTGGCAATGAAAAAGTGTTCATAGAAATAACTTAAAAAGAAATGTCCAATTTAGTTATGGGATTTACAACTTACTCTAAACCTTCATTCACTGTGCCTTATCTCATGATCTGGAACTATTGTACAAATGTAATAGTTACATTTTGTGTGCCTTATAAATGATGAATCAAGTATGAAGTTGTACTTATAGAATACTGTATAATAATATCAGTCCTTGAAGTGACTATATAGCCCAGTGGTACAGCTTTCACCTTGCAAGCAAATGACCCTGGGTTTAGTTCCTAGAGTAGAAAACTGAGTTCTTCCTTATACACTATCCCTTGTACACACAGCATTGAAATTAATGTACTTTTTGTTGCACTTATTAATAGTGGAACAACCCTTCAGTGAATAAGCAGCCTGTCAAAGGGGTGGAGTAACTCACTAGCTGTATCATGGCAGAAAAGGCAATGTACAGGTATTACAAAAATAATTAAAAATAATAAAATATAAAAATGGTCATTAAATATTAATAATTTTATAATGACTCAACAGACCACAGAGATAACTCAGAGTGGAAAGACTGTGACTGTTGCCAATACATCTGGATTTGACCGAGGACACCTAACGCTCACCTTGGAGACTCCAAATGAAGCTGCTAACTGGCACAGATGTCTACAACAACATGTAGCTGATCACCGCCACTGGGGTCCTGCTGCAGAGGAAGAAATGGAAATACTAACACCACAGCCAACACGACACAACTTCATCGTCCCAAGAAGAGGGCGTTTTGCTTCACTTTATGAAGAAACTCCTCTAAGAGGTATGTTTTTTTTTAGGGGGGGGGGTGGGATAGAATTGGCAGGCTCCTAACAGGTCGCCAGGACTATGGAACCCACTTTCAATATGCTGTGGTAATATGTTACATGAATTCATTTAGTATGCTGTAATGAACTTTAATTTGAATTCTTATTAAGTAGGCTGGGAGGAACTTAGTTTGAATTCATGGCTTTGCTGACCATTTTTTTTTTCTCTCCAACAGATGGTTCCCCTGGATCAGAGAAGTCTTCTTTTGATGATCTATATGGATCTTCTGCCTTTGTCAACAACTATTGCACTCCTGCCCAGATTCCCCCAAGACCAAGAGCACTAACTCTCTCCTCACGCTCATCATTCAGAAGATGGGGTTCAGTCAAGTGTAATATGCCTTTCTTTAAGAGCAAGAGTTAGGGCATTGTGTCTTGATGTCTCGTGACCTTAAGTGCAACAATATCTTGGCAGACTTTCTTTCATGTACATATTCTATATTTACTATTTGCATAGGAAGGAATTTGTTTAAAGTTATTCATTATTGTGTCTCAGAAAGTCTTCATTAAAATTTTGTTTTTGTTTTTTTGTTTTTTTAAGGAACCCTCTTTCTGTTCTTCACCAATATTTGATTGATACACTGACCAACAGAAATCTCCAGCACATACTTCAAGGGTTCTCTTTATTGAAACTACAGGGTATTGTACAGTGGTCAAAGTATCAGTAAGATATTCTGCACGTCACCATGGTTTTTATGCTTGAAACCAGTCACCCAGCATAGCGTGTATCTTAGTTCTGTGTTACATATAACAGTGTTCCCTATATATTCTAATCCTTTAAGAATCTTGTAATGTAATACTGATTTTATAAGCAATAAATATCTTGAAGCTCTCTATAATATTTTAAGCATTTTCTCAATACAGTATTAAAATTTAAGCCAAATTTATTTAACCGTTCCCATTGTTAGAGAAATTACTGTACAGTACTGTTCATTGTGCTGAAAAAATGATGGGTGGTGATAAATATTTAGTACTGTACTGTAATCTCAAGCATTTTTTTTTTTTTTTTTTTTTTTTTAATATATCATAGTAGAACATCAGCTCAAGTGATGCAAACTCACATATTTCCAAGAACAGGGCATATCATGTAAAAGTCAATGTTTAAAAAGCAATAAAGACAAGCCAGAGAATTATTTTCTTATTTGATATTTATTTATTTATTTTATTTTTTGTATTTGAAGCAAATGTTGTCAAAGAACAGAATAATTAATTATTTGCTTTTTCATTGACTAATACTGATAGTTTTAGGATGTTAAGTAATATTCCATAAAGATGCAGGGATTAGGAATAAACTGACATGTTCAAACTTGTGAGGAAATTAAGAAATCCTTTTTATATGTGAATTATGATTTACTTGCTGTGTCCATCTGTAATTGTCATTGATGTAAAAATATGTAACCAGGCTTCACTTTGGATTACAGTAATTAATTTTCCTTATTTTTATTTTAATGTACAGAATGAAAATTGTATTTCATACCCAGAGTATTATGATTAGTTACTCATGCCATTCATATATTTATTAGTGTACAGTATTGTTTATCTTAATGACAAGTCCATAAGTTTTTCCTCTTTGGTTTTGAGTATTTCATGGATATTTCTTCATGAAATTATTATAAAGTTCCACCTTAATTGATTATTATAATTTTTTTTAATACTATACTTTATTCTACATAATGTACAGGTATACAGCTCCTCCCCGACTTACGACGGGGTTAGGGACCCAAATCCAGGTCGTAAATCGAAATTGCTTAAATAATACATAGAAAATCTAAAATGGGTGTCTCTTTTTCTTCTCAGCACCACAAAACTCTGTTTTTAAGTTTGCCAGCCATTTTAAAGTAAATTACAAACGAAAATTTTGTCAGTACACAGCGCAATCACTGACGTTGGGACTCGAAAATACGTAATTTGACAAAATATGGGTAAGACTGAGGCAGGTCATAAGTGTGGGTGGTCGTAAGTCGGGGAGGAGCTGTAGTTGGAGAGGTTTTCAACAAGTGAAAAAAGAACTTTCTGTGTACACCATATCTTGCAATATGTTGTATACTGGTATGTTGATTTGCAAAAATACCATTGATAACTACACATGATCATAAATATGTCCATGTAAAACATAGGGGGACAAGATTTTTATTGTGCCTATTCTGATGTGCAGAAGTTTATACTGATATTTTCATACTATTCCTTACAAGATTGAAAGTGGTTTGTGTCAAGTGCTGTGGTTATGAAGGGACCAACTGCTGTGAAGTACTTTTGATCAGGAATACTTGAGGAACAAATGTAGGGAATTCCAAGCCTTGATCTTAGGTCATATTCCTGAGGTATTTCAATATACAGTACAATATTTGATGTCAATGGCAATTTGCTATTACAGTACTTTGTTTTGGCACCACTGTGTCTCTCTGTAATGGCTAAGTGTGTCTACACTAAAAAATATAAGATGATTTGCAGGATTGTGTTGAGGAAGAGCATTTCCTGAGAATGTTTTTGTTGAAAATTATATGTGGGAAGTGTCTCAAAGTATGCCTTAGTTGTTTCTAATTTATATGTCTGATTACAGTAGATATGCTCTTTTATGTTTAATGAGGATGCTTGGCCTATCAAGATAAAGGTTCTTTATAAATTATTTAAGATGCAGTTTTATAAATTGATTTATAAGAATTTACTGTGTCAAGTGAAGCCCTGCAGATGTGAACTTCACATTTATATAGTAAAAATATTTATTAGTAATCTTCATACAATACAGTTAAACATAAATATAGTGTATATTTGTAGAACTACATATAAAACCTTGCATTGATTTAATTAGTACAGTATAATACAGCAGAATTATTTGCTTGGTAATCATGACTTTTGTTTAGATCCCAAGAGATCATATGGCAGGTATATTTAATAGGGTGTTGTTAGCTGTTGTGTACTCAAGTTGGTTACTCTCATTTTGATTTTAATTAATGCGGATGATCTAGACCCCATTTAAGCTTGTTTTAGAGCTTTCCTGTGTTTGTGTGAAATAGTGTACTAGTCCCAGTTGTCTTTTGACTAATGTCTGTAATCCAATGTTATTTAAATTTTTACATGGTATGCAGTATAACTTGAAGTTTTCCAGAACCCACTTTATTAAGAAAAATAATAATAATAACTCAATAAAACAAATACCAGTCTCAGTCTTGGGTATATAAGAGTGATGATAACTAGAATGTTAAGTCACATTTTTATTATAGTAACAGTATTATTATTATTTTGGCTCAATTTTTACCATATTGACCGGCTAATTACTATTTAGCGTAAACTTTTTTTATTATTTAAATGGATTTGATATCCTAGATCCTGTTATACAAAACTTGGGTTATGAAAATTTCTTCAAAAGTCTTCATAAGAATACTTTCGACCATAAATGCTTTCACTCACGAAACACTGGGTTTTCTCATGATAGGTTATATAATATTTTTATATAGACTATTACAGAACCATTGTGAACACATAGTTAACATTGTTACAGATGTTAGAAATACTGAATGTTAGTCAATGATAGAAGAGACTGTTACAATTATTTCTGATCACCATTCACCTGAAGCAGGAAAGAACTTGGAAAAGAAAAATATATCAATATCTGAATCTTTAGTGTACAGTGTATGGGGTGTGAACCAAGGGTTCTTAATAATCAAGGAATTGCTGGATATCAGTTTGTATATGACAGCATTCACTACATTTCTTTTTATGATTTATATATACTGTGATGCTTATGTTGCCATTTATCTTAGCGATGTTTGTAGTTTATAATTGGTGCAGCTCATTTTCTCTTGACTTCACTACTTTTTAGGGTTTCTGGAAGAAACCTAATTAGACTTCATTTTCCATCTTCCATAAGGCATTAAGCACCTTACTGTACAGAAACTCAATTTTGTGATTGTACTTGATTGCCAATAACAGACATAGCAAAATGTTGGATTCTGTGTACCCCAGGTGTTGTTCACTTAAGCCTGTTTAATGTACTATATACAAGATAGTATACTTCACCGTGCAGTCTGAAGAGTGATGTGGATTTTAAGTGTGAGAATTGGTGGATAATCATACGTGTCCATTAAAGAGAGTATAGTTTGATATATACAATACTTCATAAATATGGTATCTATAAAGTGGCAGCTTCTTTCTTCTTTTCAATACACATTAGTACTCATAGTATTCATTTATGAAGCTCAAGCGTTGTTATTAGATGGTAATTTTCAGTTGATGGGATGGCAAGTGACACCAGCAGTTTTGATGTACTGGGTATTAAGAGGATTTGGTTTTGATGAACTTCAGGAAAGAAACATGTCGGGTAATACTGCTACATTCACCAGTTCCAAGAAGCTAGACTGAGAATTGTAAAATTTTTGTTTCATTCTTCCTATTCTTTCACCTTCATAATAGCAACATCTGTGTTCAAAGCCAAATAATTTTTTTTCTATTTAAGTAACAAAGTTATTTAAGGCCTGGCCACTTTTTTTTTCTTTCCACATATTAATAGCAGTAAGATTTATACTTCCAAAGCAGAAAAGATTATATTCCATTTACTCCATACTCCTTCCTAATAAGGCACAGTATTTTCATATATTTGTCCTCAGTTAACCATATAAATTGGAAAAAAAAAATTGTAGGGTGCCTCAAAGTGTCATTATATATATATATATATATATATATATATATATATATATATATATATATATATATATATATATATATATATATATATATATATATATATATATATATATATATATATGTATTATGAAACGTGAACTTTTTTCCAAATTGCTAAGTTCATAAAAGGTACTGTACGTATTCATTAACATAGAAGACTTATGTATAAATTAATTATTGATTAAACTCTTCTTCCATAATACTTTATATTTTGTCTCCTGTGTAAGTTGTTACAATGTATCATGAAAGATAATAATTGAATAAATGTAAATATGTGAAAGTTTACAACACTGGGAATGTAGTGTTGATGTAGCCTGCCATGAGTTATTATAGGTTGGTTCTTGCCTTGGGTTTGTAATTTTGCTTCTTTTTGGGAATTTTCAAAGTTTGTAATAAAATTTATATTGTAACTTATTTTTTTCTATCCTGAGTTTTGTGTGAATTTCAGTATAAGAATCAGAATTACTAAAAAAAAATATTTTTACATAAAAACGAGTATGATGAAGTACTAATTATCATACTAGACTGGCACCCCTTTGTCCCATGTCCAAATCCCCAGTGAGAAGACAAATTGTGATTGATAACTCTGATGAGCTGATACTAGTAATAGTATATAACTATACTTACAGCTTGTTCTAACCACACTTACAAATATTTGGTGGTCACTGCAAGAGATAGGGTACACACACCAGCACATTTTTGCCAAATACGGTTTTATGATTACAGCTTCCCTATATAGAGGCCAATATGACTGACTAAAGGAAGGTATAGAATAACCCGGAAACCCCCCTCGAAGCCCACGGTGCTCGTCTGAAGTGTCTTTGATCTACCGTCATCTCCTTCCCTTACCCGTCATATTTAATCTTAATACGGTCAAATGCAAGTGGCTTGATTATAAGACAATTGTGTGTGGAATTTTGGGTTATGTCAGGTCATAGGCTCAGCTTATGACCTGACATGACCCTCAGGACCACTGGCATCTTCATATAAATGACTAAGTTCTGACCCAGGAGTCAGTCACGAGCCCCTGTTTCAGCTGTGAACAGGACATGCGCACGATTACACTCGGCTGTGGAAACCCCATCACTCTTGTTAAAGCATTTTCCTGCATTGTAATCTCTCCCAACTGATTACACTTTCTCTCCTCACTCCCAGTTACCTGTCTCCCCCCCCACAGAAAGACAACAACCTTGACAGACCCATCCGCTCTCCCTCCCATTCACTAGTTACTGCTTCGAGTTCATACTTTAGAGTTCGGGGTTCACGTGAACCTTAGGGAGAGAGAGAAGAGTCAACGCTTGGTGGTAAATGCAGGAGTGGAGCCAACTGTACATAGGATATGTTATAATAAATGCATGACCAAATGTATTTTAAAAGAAAAATTACACATTTCACAGACAAATATACAAATATATTAACATATAACATCTCTCTCTCTCTCTCTCTCTCTCTATATATATATATATATATATATATATATATATATATATATATATATATATATATATATATATATAAATATATATATATATATACTGTATATATATATATATATATATATATAAACTGTAAAAATTTAAATAAATAATAAAAAATAGTTGTACTTTTACTTTTATCCTCTGCAATAATGCTTGTTCATCGTGGCACTGTGGTCTCACAACATAATTAGACTAATATGGTCATAGGGTTGCCATACATCCATATTTTCTCAGACATGTCCTCCATTTAGGTCTCGAAATCTTCATCCGGAAGTAATTTTTAAAATTCTTCAAAAGTCCGGAATTTCAGCTTCCATCACTTTCTCCACGGAAAAAAAACATAAAACTGTAATGACGAGAGAGAGGGGAGGTGGAATCCGTAGAGATCTTGTTCAGTTTGAGTCAGCTGATAAGTCACTTGTACGCCTTGTGGGGTTCAAGATGTTTGGTTCACACTCAGGATGGAATGGAGAAAGGAAACTCACAATGTGCTCTCTATATACATGTTGTATTGGATGTACAATGCAGCTTGGTGCTGGGAAGGCAGCATGGTTACAAGCGTGATGTAGAGAGAGCTGGTTGGTGAGGACGCTCAGAGAAGGACAGCTTGTGGGTCGCCATGCTCGCCGGCGGGAGAGAGGACCGCCAGGCAGCGGCGGAGGAGGAAGTGTCGCTGGCTGGTTGGTGTAGGTAGAAAGAGGCAGGTCACCACGAGGTCAGGTCTTAAATAGCGGGGGGTAGGCGTGGCTTAGTAGTTGACCCCCGCTCCGTGATGTATGGCGGCGCTGGTTGACCTAGACCACGAGGCATACACTGGGGAATTGGTGGGGTCGGCTACTCAGCGACAAACAGCGTTTGTAGGGGAGAAATCCACTACAGCCTATACGGTGTTGTCAACTTAGCTGTCAAATATTTGATTGATACGGGGCTAGAAGTTGATGATGTGAAGTGTTTTGACCAAGTTAGTAACCTGAAGCAGTTTCTGGAAAATTACAAGTGATGAAGAATTTAGTAATCTGCCAACACAAAAAGTGGACCAGATACTTTGAAAAATCAAAGAACTTTGAATGCCACTCAGAATTGCTAAGAATTGCACAATTCTTCTTTGCTATATCATCTCACAATGCAAATGTAGAAAGAGTTTTTTCACTGATACAAAGTCAATGGACAAAGGAAAGGAACAAATTGAGTGTTGAAACAATGAAAGGCATTCTGAGAAACATCTTGCAGTGACTTCTGTACCTTTCTAAAGAGCAATCAGCCAATACTGAAAAAGATCCAATCTACAGAAAAGTATGCATGGGCACATAAAGTCACACACACAGTGGGGGAAGAAGACTGCAGCTAAAGAAGATATTCAGCCTTAAGCAAAGGTATTTTTTTTTAAGATTTCTATACCATGTATGTTGTATATTAGCCTACATTAAAAACAAAATGCAATACAGTACACCGATATATATATATATATATATATATATATATATATATATATATATATATATATATATATATATATATATATATATATATAATTAATTGTCACGGCTGCTTCATATATGTCTTCGGGAACGTCCTCTTTTTTTAATGTTCAGATATGGCAACCCTAAATATGGAGGACTTTGTAGTGGATTCCTGCCCTACAAACGCTTTTGTCGCTGAGTAGCCGACCCCGCGAATTCTCCAGTGTATGCCTCGTGGTCTAGGTCAACCAGCGCCGCCTTACATGACGGAGGTCAACTATTAAGCCACGCCTACCTCCGCTATATAAGACCTGACCTCGTGGTGACCTACCTCCTCCTCCTCCTCCTGCCTGGCGGCCCTCGTTCCCGCCGGCGACCATGGCGACCCACAAGTTTGTCCTCCACTGAGCACCCTCACCAACCAGCTCTCTCTACTCAACGCTTGTAACCATGCTGCCTTCCCAGCACCAAGCTGCATTGTACATCCAATACAACATGTATACAGAGAGCACATTGTGAGTTTCCTTTCTCCATCCTAACCCGTACCCCACAACTTCACAGCCATTTCCCCTCGCTCACTAACAGTAAGCTCGCCTATGGCTGTTCTGCTAGGTTAGGTTAGGTTAAGGTTACACTTTTTAACACATTTGCCGTAACTACGACAGTATCTACTATATAACAGTCAAATTGCGGCATTTTTAAATTCGTTTGGGTAAATTTTTACTTTAGAATACGAGTCCCTAGGGGTTAACCAATATGTTTTTCCAATGTATTTTGGTGTGTTTTAAACGAATCTGACCTTCATTTTTGCCCCCCCCCCCACAATATATCTAATCTAACCTAACAAAGCCTCACCTAACCTAACCCCTAGCCGACCCCCGATAGGCCTAGCTTAAACTAACCTAAATTTTTCAGTAGTTAAAAACTTTGGATAGAATGGTCGTCAGCAATAAACTTAAAATAATCGTAGGAGCACAAAAGATAACATACTTCCATCACGGCCATTGTGAGACTGGTCAATGATTCAATGTCCTCAATGAAATTACCCCTTCCTTTAAAAAAAATTATTGGTCGAAAAAAATTTGCGTGATGATATCGATTCATCATTGGTCGCATGCGCCGTTAACATCTCTTCGCAGATGAAGACTGAAAACTATGTAAAATCAATTAAATTCAATGGTGTCGCTATTATCCATTTCCGCCAGGTATATATATGGTTCCAAATGCTCAGAATAGTGAGATATAAATGTTTCAATAGTTTATAAATTTCGGGCGCACTATGTCCTAAAGTAAAATAATACATTATCATAATCATATTCGTTATTTTTATTCTTATATACATTTATCAATCCCTGTGCAAAACAATAGGAATTTATGGGGAAATAAAATTTTAACAACTTATTTAGGTCATCTACGTTGAATGGACTGTTTGGCTAAATTGTCTATGTACTTACTAAACCAGTGTGAACTTTGGTGAAGATTTTACTGAATTATCATCTAATTCTCCATCAATCACTTCCAGCATCTGGTGAAACAAGGACAAATAACGCAACCTGCTTAAAGTTATGAACCCAAATTTTACGTAAAGGAAAACTCCTGCACGTCGTTACCATGAAGAACAAAGTTTTAGAAAGTTAAAGTGCTGCAAGTACCCAGGGAGTGGCTGGAGGAGGGCTCTCTTTGTGACTATGTGACTGTTATATTCATTTCGTTGAGGATGGCGCAGTTTACATTTATTTTTCAAGCAACACTAAGTATGATATTGTTGCCAGGATGGGATAAAACGGGTGTCATTGGAGGACAAATTCGTCAAGACGGGGCTGAGAAGAGTGCCAGTGAACCGAGACTCTCTGCACCAAGACCAAATGGCAGTGGCAGGCTACAACAACAGACGAGCTCAGATACCCAGCTGGTGACACAAGTGTTAGCAGCCCTTGACAACACCATTGGATATTATGAAAAGAATTACCCCCTTCTTAATTTTGATGGCATATTTGGTGCTAAAGTTGTAGAAGGTCAGTAAAATTTACAGTCGAATTCAAGGAAAATTAATATCTAATAGAATAACCATTTTAAACATTTGAAGTGTATTCTAGGCGGTTTTTAACGTACTTTGAATGATTTTGATCTTAGCTAACCTAAACTAATCTAACCTAGCCTAGCATAGTATTTCATTTTGCATTTTGTTAAAATAACTAAACGGTACTGGTCAAATTTGACATGGCTATCTCGGTCCGACTTATTACCCAAATGTAGCCGCAATGAAGTCAAATAATGGTCCTACATGAATAAATCGGACTGCCAATCACTTCTCGACTAGTACTTGATGTCACAAAGTAAAAAAAAATTGGAAAACTTAATTTAAACTGAGTTAATAGATCGCGTGCTTGTACCGAGGGAGCGAGTAATTACCCAAATGAACCTAAATGTACCCAAATGTAGTCGCAATGAAGTCAAATGATGGTCCTACAAGCGTAAATCGGGCTGTGAATCACTTCTCGATTATTATTTGGTGTCATAAAGTCACAAAAATTTGGTAAACTTAATTTAATGTGAGTTGTGTTAGGTTAGGTACATGCACTCGATCTATTAACTCGATTAAATTAAGTTTACCAATTTTTTGTGACTTCGTGACACCAAATACTAGTCGAGAAGTGATTGGCAGTCCGATTTATTCTTGTAGGACCATCATTTGACTTCATTGCGGCTACATTTGGGTAGATTTGGGTCATTAGTCGGACCCTGGCTATCTTGTTTTGTTGGTATTATTGCAGTTACAACCAATATGCCTCTCGATTTGATCAATGTGTCACTTATTATTCAATTGCGAAAGTAAAAGTAGAATCTAGAGGACAGCTCTCAATGAGATCTATTAATTTTTTAAGTCAGAAACCTTTGGCTGCATATCGGTTGAAAAGGTGAATTTGTAGTTTTGACCAACCACGGAATTTTTATTACAAATTTGCTTTTTTCTTGATAGTTCAGACAATTCTAAGACATTTTTCTTCTAAGAAGTTTCCCTCGCAAATGACCTAAAAATTACCTAACCTAACCTCCAGAACCTAGCCTAACCTTAGAATTATCTAAACTATCGGAAAAACACATTTCTAATAAAAATTCAGGGGTTGGTTGAAACTACAAATTGACCATTCATTCTAGGTTTGGTTAAGTTGATTTTTGAGTTGAGCAATGTGTTTTTCCGATGGTTTTCTATGCATTTAAAAAAAATTATGTTGATTTTTGTTGGAAATCACCTTTTTGGTAATGGGGTGATATCTCAAAAATGAGTGATTTCCGACAAAAAATAATATAAAAATCGAATAAAACACATCAAATCCATCAGAAAAACACATTGCTCAACTCGAGCAAATGCAAATTTACCGTTTTGTCATTACTGTTATAACAAAGTGCGTTAATGCTTGACGAGAGTGGTCTTACCTTTCAAGGTACCTTACAAAATTTTTAAATGGAGAATTAAAACGTTCTTACCAAGAGAAACATACAAAACTGAAGAAGGAATGTGTTTTACATTACTTCACTTTTAAGATACTGTACTGTACAGTATTTGACACTTTTCCGTGTGTGGAAGGAGAGGAACTACCGGTATGAACCTTACATTTGCCAGCTATGTTTATACTTATCTTTTTTTCTGATTGGTCAATGGTTCCTTGCAGCCATATTGATCTTCCTGAAGATTTATTTTTAATTTACTAATAATGGTGATCAAATAACACCTCAGTAGTTATTGAGGACACACCTGTCACCGAATTTTCATGTAAAATGAATTTAAAACACCACAATTTCACTGTGTTTTACAGTTAACACTGTCATATTTGGGCAAATTTGTTAAAATGGGACTATTTCTAAATTAAACCTAATGTAACCTTACTCGATAAGAACACACAAGCAACCAAAGTGCTGTTACCAGATGGCACCAACCTAACCAAAGAAACCTACCTAACTTTCTAGCTGGGGAGCTTTGCCCCCCAGATCCCCAGGCATATTAACCCTTTGGCTGCGGGAGGTTACCCTAAGCCAAATAAAATCGTTTGGCAATAGCCAGAATAAAATGGCAGGTGCGGCGAACGCAGCAAAAGTGTTAATCGAGATAGGTTTTAACCCTACAGTAGCTGCAGGAGTTACCCTAAGCTGAATAATATCATCTGGCGGTAGCCAGAATAAAATGGTTAGTGCGGGAAATGTAGCGAAAGGGTTAAATAGAAAGAGCATAGTTTGATATAGTGTAAGTTTAAATTTTTTTGTGGACGTGAGAGTATGCTCGGGCTGAGTTGCTCGGTTGTTGCACTGAAACAAACAAAGAGTGGACGACAACATTGAGCATGGTTCAAGCCGCCATACTGTTTCACCGCCTGAAAGATGAAGTAGTGTGGGCCTAGGGGCCTAATTAGCTATCAAACCAAGCATTTGCCCAAGAAATGAATATCGTATCGAAACTCAGCCATGAAAATTTAGTATGAAAAGATCCATCAAGATGAATTACGCTGGGGTGGGTATGTACAAAACATTTAGCCAGCTACTTTTTTTCCTTAATTTTATCATCCAACACAGTCACTCAAACAGCATAATCAGATTACAGTACTGGGTAATGGTGGAATAGATGGTTAGCTCAAGAAGGACTTTATGGAAATGCAAAAAAATTTCAGGGAGTGTTGTTTTGATGATACAATATTTCAGTCATTGAATACTGTACATTAAAAACATCTTACTGGTAATTTCCATCCTCTAAAGTTTATGCTTCACTTCATGGCTTTAGTCATTAAAATAGAAGGCCTCATTTTCTTAGATTTTGGGGGCTATTTTGAGAAAGATTTTGATACAGTGCCCTCTGGACCTCTCTTTCTGAAATGCCTAGATCCACCCTTGCACCCTCACAACTTAATGGACAAGAGGTGCCCCTTTGGTTACCAGCGACCCTTGAGACAGGAAGTGAGTGCTGTATCTATTTGATGTGATGTCACACTCAGTGATCTTGATAATAGCCATGAATGTTCCATCATTTGTTCTGAGTGTTTTAAAGGCCCCACACAATAGGAGGAAGAATTTGATAATGAAGGCGATACACCCGATAATCTTGATTGTGAGATTTGTGAACATGGATATGCCGCACACCAATTACTGTGAGTGTTTTTTTATTGAGCCAACACAACAGGAGGAGGAATCTGACATTTATGTCACATTGTACTGTACTTTATAAATGTTGTTATGATAAATACATACCGTATCCTTAGAAGTATGTACAGTACAGGTATTGTTTCCCACAAAAAAATTGCTTTAAAATGTATATTTTTTACCAACAATTTATTTACAAGAGGTTTTTCATGAATGTATCCCTGTTGTAAATCAAAGGACGCCTGTATTTTTATTGAGTAATAGAAGTGAACAGCATACTGTAGTAGAAAATAATTCTTGGTTGAATTGGTTAGAGACGATGATTGAGGGATCAAAATTATGAGTTGCTTTATGCCTGAAAATGGTGGATTTATTGTACTGTACTGTACAGTATTGTACTACAAGGAAACGATTTCAGCAAGGAATATCGTGAACTTGCCATTTACAAATATTATTTGTAAAAACTCAGAGTACTGTACTGTATAATGCCACAAAATATTTGTGTGATGAAAATTACACCATCCTCATTTCCCCCCTTCTCCCTTCCACACATACACACTCCCCACCCTCATTTTCAGTTTTAACTCAAATAAATCACTTCCCTAATACAATACTGTCTTCCATGCATTGCTCCAAAGAATTTTGTACACATATGAGTACAGCTACTGTATGTCATATTTTGATTCTTTACCCTGTCAGTACTCTTAATTCACATGGGTGTTAATATTTTCTAATGCCTTCATATTTTTTTTATCCATATTTGAAAGATAATAATGTCTTCTAAAAATGTTGGAACAATTCTTCCTTCATGTAGCTAGGTACAATCCATACCTCATTCTTTTTAGAGAGCCGGGCATGTCTAATCATTATCCTGGTGTATAGGTTCCCCTCTCAGCTGAATAAAATCATCTGGCATTAGCCAAATAAAGTATTAAAAGTATCATCCCCTTAGTGAAAGGTATTAAATTTTTTCTTAAACCCTAATTTTCTATTGCTAACTTTGTAATACTGTACCAGTGCAGTATACTACACTATACAGTACAGTACTGTACTGTATGTAGATTCATCCATCAGTGTGATATAAATGGAACTAAATTTCCATATGAATTTGATCAATATTAGTAGATACATTCTGCCTACAGTACTATTCTTTTAACAGGTCAGCTGAATCTTGTGGTTGCTGAGTACAATAAAGGTTTCCTTACTGGCATTATGGACGACATTATGAAGAATGACATCTCACGAATGGCAGCTAAGGCAGGTATGAAGGATCAATTGCTTTGATGTAATTTGTGATGTAATAGAAGTACAGGTATACCTTGCAATCAAATGGGTTAGGTTCCAATTCGTTAGGTGAATTTACGGATCACAAATTGACAAACATATGGGAAAAATAGGGTTCGGTTTCCCAATGACTAAAATACAGCATGCCCTTAAAATTCACAGGGTTGGAGTCTCAAAATGGCCGTGAATCGCCAAATCTGCGAATATCATTTGCTGACCACGGGAGGGAGGGGTTACATTTTTAACTGTGTGTGTGCATGCGTGCGCAAAACATACAAATAGATAATAATGGGGAAATCCTCTCACAAATAATCAGAAACAAGAAGAACAAAATGTATCGAAATGTAGATAAAATGCGAGAGTCTACCCTCAAGTCAACTCTGTACAGTACTTTGTTATTAAAGTTGAGTTGGATGGGTTGCCATATGGCAATTTTTTTCTTGTAAAAATTTCTGTCTAGAATGAATGGCTCCCTGTCCCGTCCGCGAAATTCCGGCAAGTTTAAAACTACCCGCAAACATTCTTGGGTACATCCAGCATGTTATCCGTGAATCATCGAGGACCGGAAATTGTCAGGGCATGCTGTATCCCAATATCTTAACCCAAAACACAAAATCGATTTACAAAAAAGAACAAAATCTACCCAACTAAAGATATACAGTATAGTACACAACTTCTCAAATTTACTACAAAACACATGAAATTACTACCTAACACATTAAAAAAATTAATAAAATACTATTTAACTTTGGCATATTACCCTATGGGAGGGCATAACACATGTGATCTACGCAGAATGCGTGGGAGGTTCTGACCATCCTTGGTGATTGCCAGGCTCAGCAGTTAAACGTGTCATATCGCCCAGAGGATGATGGAAGAACATGTTCTTTGTCCATAAAATAATTTATACTCTTACCAGCAAATTTGAGAAATAAATAAAAATACTGTAATAATATAAATAAAAGAAAAGAAAAAATGCCATTGACAATCTTGTTACTGTGCACAAGACAGCAGAGCCGTGAGGGTGAGGAAATGCTGCTCACTCCCTCCCTCACTCTGTGCTTGCTCCCACACATGTAATAAATGTTTAATCCCTTTATGTTTTTTGACCTTTTGATAATTATATGAAGATTATGTGTGCGTGTGCATGTAACAGAATGAAAAAAAAAATTGAAAGAAAATTACAAAAAGATTATCTACTCTAAAATGCTAATTGAAAAATAACAATAATGCAACCCACAGGGGAGGAGGATATTACTGACACCACACTCCCCACCACCCCCTCCTGGCTGCCTCACACAATCTGTACACATTTTTCACGGTTAAAAACATGAAGAAAATTACATATGTTTACCCCGTTCTGTGATAGTCCTATGTACGTAAAAAATTTTTATTTCCTTCATGTTTTTGACCTTATGATATTTATTTTCAGATACTTATGTTTACATTCTGTATGTAGGATTCTGTGTGCATATAAATGAATGAAAAAAAAATTAAAGAAGAAGAAAGCTATGTGTACAGTATGGCCATTCCAGCTGAGTCTCAGGGCATGCCGTTTGAGTTTTTTCTCGGACCGAAATTCATTTAAGCGAGGTAAGCTTTCATTTCTTAAAATAGTGGTGTCAATTTAGGAAATTCGTTTAAGCAAATTTTTGTATCATGAACGTTCATATCTCGAGGTGTACCTGCACTGTACAGTACAGTGTTTTACATCTTAGTCAGTACAGTAATTTGAGGCTCTTCACTGTAAAACCAATACTATGCCTATTTTTGGCTTAAGTAATACAGTATCACAAGTCCTTTGAAACACATCACTGCCAAACACTTGGTTGCTCCATGCACATGCCTCTTGAGTAAGTGACTGCATGTTTACTTCATAATCAGAAGGGGTAACTGGGCTCCATCCTAATTTTTTAACCTTAACATGTGGTATAATGATGTACTCCTGGTTATTATGGTTACAATGCTCATAAATGTTTATCCAGTTTTTTAAGAGATTTCTCTTTCTGTTTTCATACCAGTATTTATGCCTTAAAGAGAACTCATGGATCTCTATACTGTACTCTACTTGGAGAGACTTTTCTTGTCATATCAATAAGATAATGGAAATCAGAGTCCATTTAGGAGGTGTGTTGTTTGACAACATCCATGTCCCAGAGAACACAGCTCTATTTCTTTGTGTTGTGTCAATTACTAATACTGTACTCGTACTGCATTGCAGAAGAGTTTTTATACGGAATACAGTATTAACATCTTTATGTATGGTTGGAATATTGTACATTTATTGCTTTCTAAGTAAAATTTTATTAAAAACTTATTTGTTAACATTACAGGACGTGTTGTGAAACTGGCTACTCCACATCTACATGAAAAAGATCCAGAATACATGAAACGGTTGTGGAAGATGTTTCAGCTGTCATGGGATATTGGACATTCTCATCGCACTGTTGACATGTCTCTACTTTGGTCAAGCAATGTACGACATCTTGGCCAAACTGAAACATTTAATGGTAAGTTATAATATCAGTGTTACAGTTGTAAGTTGGTTTATAAAAATTTTATCCAATGTGCCAGATAAAAGTAACAAACTTTATACTTGCAACACCATGTAGCTATGATAAATTATCATTACAACTGTATGAAGTAATGTGTGTCAAGGGCACTGTTCAACAAATCTATTTCAATTACAGGTACCCGCTATTTATAATAGAGTATTCCTACCTTTTTTTTTTACGGGTATTAGCCTACCCATGAACAGGTCACTGACCCACACCGGGGCTTGGGAGGCAAAAATACAATAATAATAATAATAATAAATAAAAATTATACTGTACTAAAAATAAAATAATAATAATAATAATACAGGTTGTACCTCTCTAGTCCGGCATTCTGTGGTCTGGAAACTCCCGTGGTCCGGAACGATTTCAGTTTGTCCAATAGGTAGATAGGCAGCTTTTTTTTTTTTTTTTTTTTTTTTTTTTTTTTTTTTTTTTTTTTTTACTTATCTGAATTATTATTATTATTACAGGAGTATTAAATTTTTGCCCCTCAGGCCCCAATGTGGGTCAGTGACCTATGCCCGGGTGGGCTAATCCCCGTAAAAAAAAAACAAAGCCGCGGGAAATTAAGGTTTGTTTACATCCGGCAGTTCGGCTGCTCTCTCTCTCTCTCTCTGCTTGTCTATACAGAGTACAACATTTAACCCTTCAATATATATGAGCAGTAAATAAGTGTTGCTTTCATATTCTTATGTAGAGTAATGACGATATGTTTTCACATGTGCGCACTTACATACGCGCAGTCTCACTTTTTTTTTTTACCATTAATGGTTAGCTACTTATATTGTTCCATTTATTAACATTAAATAACATTACAGGTACTTCAAACAACCATATTAATTTTTTTACATTAATTTTACTACAGCTACAATCAGGGTCTTATTTTCTTCAGTTTTATATGTAGAACCAATCAGTCACTGGTTTTGTAAGCTTTAACATAAACAATGCCGGCAGCCGTCTCGTCTCCTCGTAATATTCCACGTATTATTAATAAATTGTATTGTTAATTTTGCACACAAACATTAATTCAATAAAAACAAATTCAGAAACATTAATTAAAATATATATGAACAGTAAATAAGTGTTGCTTTCATATTCTTATGTAAAGTAATGACGATATGTTTTCACGTGTTGCGCACTTACATACGCGATCTCTCTTTTTTCTTTACCATTATCGTTAGCTACTTCTATTGTTCCATTTATTAACATTAAATAACATTACTTAAAACAACCATATTAATTTTACTACAGCTACAACCAAGGTCTTATTTTCTTCAGTTTTATATGTAGAACCAGTCAATCACTGGTTTTGTAATCAACGAAAACAATGCTGTGTCATTTCCTCGTGTGTTTTAATATTCTACGTATTATTAATGAATTGTATTGCTCATTTTGCACACAAACATTAATTCAATAAAAAGACATTCAGTAATAAACAATAATGAATCTTTTGTACATAAGAGAAATGACGCTGTTTACACGATTATGCACGTCGTCTGCACGTTGGCGGGCTGTTCAAACCCGTCGAAATTCAAGTTTCCGCCTTCAAAATTTTTATTTTTATTTTTTTGTGTGTGTTCCAATAAAATACGTTGAATTAAAAACTCGCGAAATTTGAAAAGCTACTATACGAAATTTAACCCTTCAATATGTCTTCAAAGAGACCATGATGCAGAGAAAGTGGTGCTAGTGCTTCCAAGCATAAGCACAAGTCCCTATCTATCCAGGAAAAGGGTGAATTTCCATGGTCCGGCACCGGTCAGGTCCCGAGGTTGCCGGACTAGAGAGGTACAACCTGTAATAGAGAACCATAAATAAAAAAAGAAAAGAAAAAAGATTAAGAGTGAGAAGTGACAAACAGAATGTATGTTGTGTTTCAGTAGTAAGAGAAACAATTGAGACCTCCAATTGTGTGTAAATGAGGCAGAAAGTCAGATCAGCAACCTGGGACTTGGTCACAATATTTGTGATGCCATATGGCAGCAGGGTCTACATAACATAAATAATATAGGCATGTGAAAAGTATATTCAATGTGCAGTCTGTGAAGAAAATTATACATACAATATTTTTCAATACCTTTATACTGTATTAATGGTAGTATTTATAAAGTTTGCTCAGTTGAGCTTCTTTTGAATTAAATTACCCATTTAACATATGTAAAGGGTTTTATCTTTGTAAGTTTGTTTTACAGTATAAAGTGCATTCTTCCATGTAGAAAGTAAGTTGACAAGCAATTATTTTTTAACGAGTGGTATTATTCCTTGTTATTCTCTTAACTGTATTCTGAAACTAAGATTTTTTTTAATGTTTATTAGAACTGGAGAGTGATCATTGCATGGCTGAACTATTAGAACCAGCTAATGGGGTGATGTGCTGGATGACAGAGAGTTGCCAAAGAATGATGACCAAACCTGGGAGACAGAAATATACCTTAAACCATCAAATACTTTACACAATGGTTGCAGAAATGGTAATTATGAAATCAGTTATTTGCATGTAGATAATTTTTTCTTCAAAAAACATGAATGATTAATTTTTAAGTTGTACCTGTACTGTATTCATTATGTAGGAGTATGGAAGTTTAAATTTGTATTCATTTATTTTGTATTATTATTTGTTTATTTAATTATACAGTACAGTACTTCATAAAAGGTCACAAATTCTTGTACTGTTCTTGATAGTATCAGTGTCTTGTACTGCATTAGATAAGGTAATGACAGTTTCAAAATTTTTTACTTAATACTGTACAGTACAGTCCTAATGTGCTAGCTGTACTCTACTGTATAGTGCAGTATTGTAAAATTGCAGACAGACAATACCACTCAAAGGATTACGTAGAAAAACTTATACAATAAGTGTTAATTTTCCCCCCTGGCTCATCAGTGAATGACTTGAGTCATTGTAACATACAATATGTTTGTGAGTATATTGGTAATGTTTATTTATATGTCCAGCTCTCGTTCTACATTACTTCAATGGACTACAATCACCAAACTTCATGTGATTGATTATCTAATGTCACCTCAGTCAATAATAGGTAACTACTGTACGGTATGTCTTTGATAAATTGAAGTCAATTACCATACCTCATGTGCATGATCATCAAGTGACATTAATTCCCCTTTCAAAAATAGATTATTGTGAACGAGTTTTGGGGAAACATGGGTCACAACAAGCCATAATCACCAGATATCATGTGTGCATGATTATCTGAAGATGTTTTGCTATCTCTCAAAAACAATGTCACAGCCACCTACTTTTTTAGGAAGTGTAGGTCATGTTAATGTTTTACCTCCAACTATGGTTATACAGTAATGTAACTTACCTGGTACAGTACTACAATTACCTGATTTCATGTGAATGATCAGCCAGTAACATGTGGTCACCTCCTTGAAAGATGACACATTATGAAACAAATGCACCTGGTGGTGAGCTTCATTGTCTTGAGATAGCTCTTGTTCATTTATAATTACCCACTACTTAAGGATATCTTATCGTAATTTGCAGTATTATCAATCCTTCTTAGATTAACTGTTCTTAAACTCGTGCTCTTTTATACATTTTTTAAGACTACGTGTACAATACGGTATATTGAATGAAGGGCTGGATGCTATGGATCATAAATCTTACACTAGACTCTGTGGTACAACAAATTACAGTTAAAAAAATCAAAATGAAAACTTCATAACTAGGGTGCTTTTACTAAGCCATTTGAGGCAAAAATTCCTCCATCTCTTTCTTAGCTGGTTTGGAATTTTGAATCTTGTAGGTCACTGTTTGAATGACATACTGGTAACACTATAAGGATTGAAATAGGATATCCCATTTTACTGATGAAAGCATGAAACAAGTAACCAGGAATCCCTCCCTATATGTTTCTTTATTTGCAGGAAAAATTAAGGATTGATGTGTGTAACTCACTAACTCTTGAAGCAACAACTGGTTTAGGGCAAGAGTTTGCTTCAAGATCCTTTTAATTTGACTGAACAAGTGGCTGTTTAAACCATTTGCACTTTTAGTATTTTAGTGGACAATGTCTTTGCTTCAGAATGTATAAAACTCTCAGGACAAGATAGGCTCTGCCAGGGGTGTTTACTTGAGTGATCTTGCAGTTCGCATGTCTTTTATCCTCAATCATGAAATTAAATATCATGCCACAATCCTTTGTTTAAGCTTCATTGAAAATGAATCAGTGGTGTAACAAAGTAAAATGAAGATAACAGCAACCCCTTGAGTGTTAGTTTGTTTGAAGAAATGAAATTGAAAGGATGTAAAGTTGCAGCATCAGTAAGTCATTATTATTTTTGGTTAAAATGAAAGAACGTGTAAGGAGGATGTATATTGTACAGCAGCATCTGTTTTATTAATCAGGATGAATTTTTTCATTAATCTTTTGTAAGAATATTTGCAGTATACTAAAATACAGCTAGTCTAAAGATTTGAAATTCTCTTCACAAGGATGGATGTTACCCTTTTGCTTGAGGGATTTAGGACAATGAATAATAGTCTGCCACCTTTAATAGGTAGTTCTGAATTCATGGATAATTGTTGATACAGTTGCATACCTGGTACTGTACTCTCATTGTTTTCCAGCAGTCAGTTACGAGCAGTCAGTTAACCTAAATATTATGACCTCTCAAGAGTCAGTAGGATCACATGAAGAACCATGTATATCTGTATAAGGATGTGGAATACATAACTGCACAGTAGCATACCTTTACTAGTTTTATCTTCCACCAAAGAAAAATGTGAACCTTTCATTTGGATTTTAGGTGCATTCCAATTAAGTGGGATATCCTTTGACTATTTTTAGAGTGGATGTGGAAGTCGTTTAGAGCAGTGGTTGGTAAAACACAAACGAAGTGAAAGTGTGGAACAACTCCAAGGAGAACTGTGCTCCAATCTCTACTCTGAGGCTCATTCACTAGCTGCTGCCATGTTAAATGACAATAATCTTAAGTTCAGGGACCTTTTGCTGGAAATGGGTGAGTGTCATTTGTTTTATTCTATGCTGATATCTTAACCATGCATAAATAGGCCTTAATAATTTTCAAATACTTTATTGATATAACTCAGTTTCTTACTCCAACATTACTAACTTTGGAAAGTGGAAAAAGATAGAAAAACTCAGTGGAAAAAAGATGAAGATGCTTGTTGTATTGTATGCATACTAATTAGAATTATTTGTAGAAGAGTAGAGTGATATAGATAACAAAAGAGAGCTCAATCATTTTAGCAACATTAACAACATGGTGCACTCTAGTGACCAGTTTTAATTTGTGCTCAGGCTTGTATTGTTTGGAAAAGGTAAAGACACTCGACTTTAATGACATTCAAACAGAGTACAGTAATCTTCCTGTTAGCCAGAATCTTTTATCCCCAGAACTTTCCATTAGTTGGGGAAAAAATTGAGTACGTACAGTATTCTGAGAAATTATGAGAAAAATCTCTCCGTTCTGGGCATTCAAATGAATTTCCGAGGGATTTCATTATGCATCGACACATGCCAAGTGCATTGGTGGGTAACATTTATAATCTAATAAATAACTGAGCTCTCACTGGTTCATAACAAACACACATGAAATACACTAAGTGGACATGGTTATTTCCATGGTTTAGCTGTCATCCAACAGATGGCCATTAAAAAGATGCTAGGCACTTCTTAGTGATTAATTAGAAGTAATTAATATAAATATTACAGAATATTCAGTGTATTCCTGTGGTTCTCCAATATTCACAGGTCACATAACTACACTTCAAATACACAGCAAAGACAGGGTAATGTGCAACAGATGCAAAACACTTACTGTAGGTCTTATTTCACTGGCTCACAGTTTTGCTCACTTTACACACTAGTTACAGATAATTAAAGTTTTCAACATACAGGTATACTCAAACAATTTTGAAGGCCCCAGTTATCTCTTGGTATAATTATCTTATTGCTACACATACAGGTTTATGAATATTTTATATCTTAAGGCTAACATATACTTTGACGTCATCTAACTTTGTTTTCTCATATATGAGTATGGGAGAAAACCTTAGCACGGATGACTCGTAAAAATATGAAGTTTTATGTATGATTAACCGTGTAGGCATTAATAGAATACTGTATAGGTACTACTGCGACCATGACAGTGGCATGAACTAAGTCACAACAGTACTCAATTTCCCTCCACACATTTTTTAACATCTTGGCAGGTTATGGAGGTCACCGCTGCTGTGATGCACTATTTCAGTTGAATAATGTCCTGCACCTTTGTGGAGTACACTATAGACTTCACGTAATCCCAAAGAAAATAATCGAACATGGTAAGGTCAGGTGATCTCGGTGGCCAAGAAACGGGTCTGTGTGCACACGAATTTATGCACAGTTGAATGTGGAATTTGCAGTTAAGTACTGGCACAGCAGATGGATTTCCTTGGGATTCTGTGGAAGGCAGCATGTAAACATTCAACATCCTCCTTAAATAGAAAGGGATACTTGTGTATACATACGAGGTCTGTCCGGAAAGTATGCAGCCATTTACTATTAAAAAAAATATTGCTTACCTAGGACAATGGCGCCTTAGTCCCCTTCAAAGTACTCCCCTTGGGACCTCACACACTTCTCCCAGCGTCCCTTCCACTTTTCAAAACAGTCTGCAAAGTCCTCTTTCTGGATCTTCATCAGCTGCCTCGTTGCATTCTCCTTAATCTCGTCCACGGTCTGAAATCTCCTCCCTTTCAACAGCGATTTTAGCTTTAAGAAAAGCCAAAAGTCGCAGGGAGCCAAATCTGGGCTGTAGGGGGGCTGAGAGACCTGGGTGATGCATTGTTTTGCCAAAAAACCCTGCACAAGACATGAAGAATGGGCAGGCGCATTTTCATGATGAAGCTGCCAGTCACCACTTGCCCACAGCTGCGGTCGTTTTCTTCTTACTGCATCCCTCAGCCGGCGAAGAACTTCGATATAGTACTCCTTCGTTATTGTTTGGTCATTGTAAATGCGATGATCACACAGTACCCACGCTCACTCAACGGCGTCTGCCGGTCAACTGAGTTGTCCCACGGGAGTGTGGCTGTTCATGCATGCGCAGTATGATCCTCTCTGAGTGGCCGCGCGACCAGTTCTCACAATATTCACAATGGCTGGATACTTTCCGGACAGACCTCGTATATGCATGTACTAACTGTATTTTACATACAATATATGAGGTGGCTTGAGATGTGTTTATTACACCATTATGCTTATTACATATTTCAGTATTGCTAAACTTCAGTTCCATTTTTTAAAAAGATAATATAATATTGTAGGGTAATTCAGTCTACTGAGAGACCCAAAGATTTGTATTAGTGAGGGTTCAGTATATTTTTAATGCAAACCCACCAGATATTACTTAAATGTTTAGGTATAAGAAAATCCATATACCATACTACATTGGTTATTGGAATGTGTTGTTCATTTTAGACACATAGTTACAGCCACACCAAATGTATGTAAGTTACACACACAATTATTTCCTCTAAGCACATTTTATTAAAAAACAAACATTAATATATTTCGTAAATTTCTACAGTGCAGTAGACCCTTGCCATTTGCGAGTTTGCGATTCGCGATTTCAACGATTCGCGGTAAGCACATGGTGGCTATGGTGGTTAGCTTGCAAGCCTTTTCCCGCAGCACAACGAGTCACCCCACGCAGCATCTCGTGTTGTACTATCAAAACTTTAGTGTTTCTGTGTGAAATGGCCCCTAAAAGACTGCTTTGTGTCAGTGCTAGTGGAGTGAAATGTAAAAGGTAGAAGTCAGTGATGACCCTGACAAAGAAAGTTTATATTTAGATAAGTTAAAAGAGGGGATGAGTGCTGTCATGGCTGGTCAGTTGTTTGGTATAGGTATACAGGAGTGCACTAAGGTAGTATAAGTTGCTATTTGCGGTTTTGCCAATTCGCGCCATTTCTTAGAACCTATCCCTCGCAAATGGCAAGGGTCGACTACTGTATTTCCAAAACAAACACAATTGATAATGAGATATTCAAATGCAAATCTATACACTACATACAGTATTGGTAACTGGCAGTATCATTATGGAACGGGTCCAATGAATTTAAAAATGAACATAGCAATTCCTGTTGTCTCAATATGGTTGTCAAAATTCTTCATCTATTGTCATAATGTCTCACAAAATAGTAAAGCTACTCTTTGGAGTGAGTATATATGTATTTGTTCATTTTAGATATGCAGCTGCACTGGGCTTACCCAAAGTAACACACACTGATAGTCCCTGTATTTACAAAAAAGGAAAAATAAAATGCCTAAAATGACTCTCCTTCTCCACCCTTATAAAAATATTTTTTATGACAGAAGATTCACCATTTTTTTTGGAGGATGAGTGTCATTAATGATGAATAGAAACATAACCCCCCTTCTTCTTCCGTTAATTCTTAAGGTGAATATTCCCCATGATAAATCAATGGGACCCACTGTAATTGGTTTAGTTCCACTTTACCGAAGATAAAGTTGTTATATGTAATAGTGATGTAGTACAGTGACCCCTCGTTTAACGAACGCCTCGGTTAACGAAATTTCGGTTAACGAACTGCCTTCCATAAGGATCTTCAATTCGGTTAACGAACAAAAATTCGGTTAACGAATTTCTTACGAACCGACCTCAACATGTTTTCGCTTGCACTGACCGGGCAACCAGCTTTAGTATCAGTCCGCCGATACATTAATCGGTTCTAGGGCTTAAATTCCTTACTATTTTAGTAAATATCAAGAAGTTTTACTATTCAATAATTTTAAAAGTTTAAAATTAACTTTTTTAGTCATTTTAACAATTATTGAACATAATTGAAGGTAAAGAAACTAGTTTCTGGCGTGCCATCAAGCCTGTTAACACACCAGACAGGCGTTAGTCTCTCTCTGTTTTCAGTGGAGGTAACATCTTGCTTGAGACTCTCTTCAACTAAACACTTTTTTTCTGTGTTTCCAAGCAAATTATTGGTCATTTTGAAATATATTTTACATATTGACAATATATAATGCAGTGCAGTGTTGATTTAAAGAAAATAATCTTGAAATACACCAAGAGAACTAAAATTTTATGGATGAAATGGTGCCATGGGGTGACTTCTCTTCCACCCCAATGCCTTTTCTTCTTCCTTCTCCTCCACCCCCATTCTAATTCCCATCATCATCATCATCATCCAGGAGCCTTCTACATACACACCTCAAAGTAAGTGAACTTTTCTACCATTTTTGTTGAATTTAGGAAATTTTCGGTGAGCTGGAACCAATTACCCAAAAACCCATTGAAACAATGGTTTCGGTTAACGAACTTTTCGGTTAACGAACGACCTTCTGGAATGGATTGAGTTCGTTAACCGAGGGGTCACTGTAGATTAAATTCTTTGTATTTTATATATAATATCCAATACTGTACATTTTTTTTCAGATTCCTTTGACATTATTTCATACTGGTAACTGAATTTTTAAAAAAAATTTCAGAATTTGTTTGTGGCATGTTGGGCTATGTGGAATTTTTAAAACGAGACTGGCTAATGGCTATATTTGAGTGGCAAAGTGAATCTGGTTGCTTCACTGCCACGAAACCTCATCTTACTGTCGGCCGAAAGTTGCTGATAGAGGAAATGCTCTCAGGTAATTTTTTCTTTGTCATTCATATTTTTCCTCTCTCTCATGCTTCAGAATTTACCCAAAGATTTATAAATATCTGTTATTAGGGTAGTTTGAATACAGTACCAAGAATATTGTGCCAAAATTTATAAGTTGTAAGATGATAGACACAATTTGTTCAAGTGAACTTAAATTTTTTTTAAATATTTCTATACCTGTACTATGGGGTATAATGAAAATTAAGTTTTTTACCCAATATCTCCTTAATTTTTCTTTTCTGTTTGATAATTTATGAAAAAATCCACTGCACACAAAAGTGGGAGAAGAGTAAAGATACTGTTTTAGATAAATAAGTATAGTATATCAAGTAAAATATTTAATACAGTACTGTACTGCTTATTGATAGTACTGTACTACACATGTTCTTCCACAGATGGATGTCTCTCACATCTGACAGCAGTTGCAGCAGCAGCGTTGTCGGTTCATCTACATTATTTGCTGTATCCTGGACAGGGGACAGCAAAAATCAAGGCAGTTGGTGCAAACATTTCTCCACCCTCCTTGGTGATGCAGCCTCCAGTTGGGTCTTTCCCACTGGATACTGGGCCTGGTGTCTTCCTGAATCAGGTTTTATATAGGGAAGATGTTCCTGTAGGATTAAATAGGTAAGATATTACAGTATTATGTGATCATTCCTTCACCTTAATAAAGATATAATGGAGCTATTGAAATTCAAAAATTTAATTGATTAAATTTTTTGCACACTGTGTGACTTCCAGAGCTTCGTGTTCTTGCCTTTGTCTTATTCCAACTGCCTAATACTGTATAGGTTTTCAGGGGGCACCCTGTTCTTCAACCCTTCCTCACATATGTATAGTATACAGTACAGTGGAGTCGCAATAATGCTTGGGTTACATGGCAGAAGATGTCATGAATTATCAAATTGCAAACTACTGTATAGTTTAATTGATTTGAATGGAAATAATTAGTTAGGTTCCGGAGGCCAAAAAATATGCATAAACTGTTCCAAAACTGCTTTAATAAACATGAAGTATCATACATAATACAGTACCTCAAAAAATACCATACATAGAGTAATATTGTACAAAAATATTGCACTAAAGGTAGTTCTATATTACATAAACATCTCTTTCCCTTCTCATAATCATCCTCTGGGTTACATTAATACGTCAACATCAAGACAGCCATGGGCACGGGCTGGCTGGCTGGTCAGCTATTAGTGCTACATAAATAAATCACCAGGAATTTAACATGACACATAACCCATTTGGGATTTAGTGTAATTTTGGGGAGGGGAAAATTTATTATTTTATGATAATGTTTTATTAACCCCGCACAAAATGAACCAGAATACGTAATACAGTATGTAAATTATGCTGAAATTGCAAACTGTCTTTTTAACAAGGTCACAGGGGTAATGGAGCCTTCTGGAGCAGAGTAAGGAATTTTCCACTCAGTCCAGTTAACCCACCCACCTTACCTCCCATCTCTCCTATACAGAATTCAATTCCCATGCTTAATTTTTCTTATTTTATAATACTGTATTATATTATATTTTCTTTATTTCTAAGCCACTTTGAGCATTGAAATGATATTCTGTTATTCCATTTCCACAAGTTTTATGGTTCCTTCTGAAATAAACACGCTTGGCTGCAAATTGTGAATATTTGAGCTCCAAATTTAAAAATAAGTTAGTAATAGTGGTGCCCACGAATTTGAGAACGTAAATTTGTAATTTGCAAATTATCGCAACTTCACTGTATATAAACATGTACAGAACTATAATTATACCCTCTTATGTACTTTTGTAATGTACAGTATATTGCTCACTGTACCTGTAACTGAATTTGTAGGTTTTACCGAGAAAAAAATTAGCACTGAAGCTCTTCAGGAAATGCATAAATAATATTGAGATGAAAATTCAAAGATTAAATTTTCCTCAAGAAAGTACAGTATACCTGTAGTACAGTACTGTATAATATTGCATTTATTATCTAACCATTCTCATCTTTTTTCTTTTTCTTTTTTCTTTTTTTTTTTACAGTACAGTATAGTTTTTTGTATAATTTTGTCACTGAATATGATTATGAATCTTTAGGGTGGCTGAACAAGACAAGTCATTGGAAGATAAAGCTGATGTTGTCTTAAAACATTTAGAAACCGTGAAGAAGAAAGAGTCCGTAACACAATCTGTGATAACACAACTGTCCAGCAGACCAGGAGATGTAACCAGGCACAGTAAGTTGGCCATTCCTGAGCAAGCTGTTCCACTGGCTCAACACTTATCATCTACTGCATCAGGAACAACTGTCCATTCCTCAATGGGTCCATTCTATTTTGTGATAGCGAGTATAGCAATGGTTATGCTAGTAATGCTTAGATATGTTCATGCCAAAAGAAGAGCTCATTCCATGTTTAGAAACAGATTCAGACTTTAAATATTAGAAAGTTTTTTAGCGGATTTGATAAAGAATGTTATTTTGTAACAGACAATTTTGATACTTTTGCACAAATATTTACTTTATTAGATTTCTGAATATTTAAAACAGAGTAACAGTTTTGAAAGGGAAATATTATTTGCAGGGTATCTGTAATTACTTAATAACAGTTACTCGTTTTTGACCCAACCAATAGCTAACACATTGATTCCTCAAAGGTCTTCCAATCATAACATGTGTTCCTTACCAATATTAAGGTCTCAGAAGACAACCTTCCCCAGCCATATAACTTATTTTGATTTATGTCCCCAAAAATGTATTTATTTATTTAATTTTTTTGTCTTCTTGTGGTAATTTTAAAGGTACAGGGGGTTCCCTGGTTATGAACGGTTTCAATTCCTGAGGATGTTCTTACCGGTAAGTCGAAAATGTACCTAAATCGAAACACATGCTATGTGCATACTGTAATTACAGAACAATGTTTAAAATCCAACTACAGTATATCATAGCCAAAGTCCTTATACTATACATCTAAGATCACTTATTTTAAGAGAAAAGAAGAAATAAAATTACAAAATACAGGTACAGTAAATGAAAGAAAAATATAAGTCATCAGGTAAATATACTGGAAATTTAAAGTTTAACTCATCGCTCAATCTAGTAACATACCTTCTCCCTTGCTTTATGTTAATTTCTCCAGTTTCTCTTTTCTTTGAATAATTTTTACAATTAGTTATTGAATAATTGTTCGTAAGTCAGACGTTTGTTAGTCGGGGACACAAACACATCCCGACACAAACACACCATGGTATACTAACAGATACTCATGGTCATTGACACTTGTTTAACTATTGCAAGGTTTTCAATGAAAATGCAGCATCTACTAAGTGATAATGCATTCATATTCCAGAAATTGTTAGAAAAGGGCTTTATCTTTTTTCCTTTGTCGGTGATAGTAGAGCAGGGTTTAGTAGACTGTAGCTGTGATTTATTTATTTTTTTAAGTAACCCTTCTTACATTTTCCTGTCAGTTCAGCTTTCCTTATTATGGTCAATGACAGATGACCGTCCACTATTGTTTACCTCAGTGCCTGACTCATCGCTCAATCTAGTAACATACCTTCTCCCTTGCTTTATATTAATTTCTCCAGTTTCTCATTTCTTTGAATAATTTTTACAATTATTTATTGAGTAATTGTTTATACCTGCATATATATATATATATATATATATATATATATATATATATATATATATATATATATATATATATATATATATATATATATATATATATATATATATATATATATATATATATATACATACATACATACATACATACACAGTGGTCCCTTGGTTAACGAGCGCAATCCGTTCCAGCAGGTTGCTCGTTAACCGAAAATCTCGTTAACCGAAACCATTGTTTCAATGGGTGTTTGGGTAATTGGTTCCAGCTCACCGAAAATTGCCTAAATTCAACAAAAAAGGTATAAAATTACACTTACTTTGAGGTGTGTATGTAGAAGGCTCCTGGATGATAATGCTGATGTGAATTTGAAGTGGGAGGTGGAGGAGGAGAAGGGAGAAGAGAAGGAAGTGGAGGTGGAGGAGAAGCATTTTACTGCTTCTTGGAAGGTGAGTCACCTTCCATGAAAATGTCAGAAACCTCTGGACTGACAGATTCTCCACCATAAACATCCTCTCTCCTTCTTGAAGTGGAAGGCTGAGGGCTAGCATCATCCTCTCTCCTTGAAGTGGAAGGCTGAGGGCTAGCATCATCCTCTCCTTCTTGAAGTGGAAGGCTGAGGGCTAGCATCATCCTCTCTCCTTCTTGAAGTGGAAGGCTGATGGATAGCATCTTGTTCCCTCTGCCTTTTACTGAAGAAAGTGTCAATTGTGGTCTGTGGGGCATCTCTCCTCATCATTAACTTATGTTTAAAGAAGGAGACCATTGTGTCCTCAACATGACACAAAGTTAGTTCAGATTTTTCCATGTCTGGGTGCTTTGAAGCCAGTTCCCTGAACTTCTCCCAGTGGTAAATCACATTTTTCAACTCTGAAGTTGACATATGGTCATCATTTTCCATTTCCTCCTCACTATTGTCAGCCTCTAACATCTCATCCAGTTGCTTCAAGTCATCAGGAGTAAGTTCCTCCTCATGAGACATCACAAGCTCTTTGACATCATCCTCTTCCACTTCAAGGCCCAATGACTGACCAATGGACACAATCTTCTGGTCCAACTCTGTGTCATCCTGAAATCCCTCAAAATCATGGACTACTGATGGCCACAGTGCTTTCCATGAAGAATTGAGGGATCTAGTTTTTGCCATGATGACACAATCAATTTTACAGCCTCCAGGATGTTGAATTGTGTTTTCCAGAACTGTTTCAGTGTTAGTTCAGGATCATTGGAAGTTGCCTGATGACACCTCCTAAACATTTTCTTCATGTACAACTTCTTGAAGTTGCTGATCACATTCTGTTCCATTGGCTGTATGATTGATGTAGTGTTGGGAGGCAAAAACAACACTTTCACAAAGTCAAATTGATACTCCAAAGTTCTGGCAAGTTCAGGGTCATGACCAGGAGCATTATCCATGAGGAGAAGGGCCTTTAAAGGGAGTTTATTGGTGGTTAGGTAGCTCTTGATAGAAGGGCAAAACACCTCAACAACCCATTCATTAAAGAGCTGTCTTGTCACCTATGCCTTACGGTTGGACTTCCAATAAACTCCAAGCTTTGCTTTTACCACTTTCTGTTGCTTGAACACCCTGGGGTTTTCAGAGTGGTAGACAAGCATAGGCTTCAGTCGGAAATCCCCTGAAGCATTGGCACCAAGCAATAGAGTGAGACGGTCTTTCATGGGTTTATGCCCAGGTAAAGAGGCTTCATCTCTGGTGATGAACGTTCTTTTGGGCATCTTTTTCCAGAACAGCCCAGTTTCGTCCACATTGAACACTTGCTGTGGAAGATAATTTTCTTCTTCCATCAGTTCTTTAAATTCCACTAAAAACTTTGCTGCCCCTTCCTTATCAGCACTAGCAGCCTCACCATGCCTAACAACACTGAAAATGTCACTTCTTTTCTTAAATTTTTCGAACCAGCCCTTGCTGGCCCGAAAATCTTCAAATTCTGTGCCTGAAGAACCAGGTTGATCTGCCTTTAAATGTTCATAAATCTCCCTGGGTCTTTCACAAATGAAATCACCAGAAACTGAATCACCTTTCATCTGTTTTTCCCTAATCCAGATGATAAGTAACCTCTCAGTTTCTGCAATTTGGGATCTACTTTTAAACACTCTTGTAGATTTGTCTCTCACTTTCACTTCTTTAAATTTGTCTTTCTGTGCAAGAATTGTCGATACAGTTGATGTCGAAATGCCATATTCTTTGCATAGCGCATTTGTTCTACTGCTGTAAGAAGAGGGGGAGATGGGCTATTTATAGTCCGTCTTTGTGTCTAAAGTGACCAGTACCCTAATGCACCATAAATAATTCATTTAACATTTATTTTTTGTACATATATTTTGTTGTATATATATATATATATATATATATATATATATATATATATATATATATATATATACAGTGACCCCTCGTTTAACGAACACCTCGGTTAACGTAATTTCGATTAACGAACTGCCTTCCATAAGGATCTTCAATTCGGTTAACGAAAAAAAATATTATATATACAGTATTTATAAATATATATGATATATATATATATATATATATATATATATATATATATATATATATATATATATATATATATATATATATATATAATTGATACTCTATCTGGTACACACCTAGTTAATACATATTGCAGTATCAGTAAATCCAGTTATGTAAATCCAATACAGTACTCATTTATGCATTTACAGACACTTCTGAAATTCAGGAGGAACAACATAAGATAGTCATAGTACTGTATACTGGACATTGAATAGTGAACTTATATAACATTCATTATTTGTGTCTTGCAAGTTATACTGTAATCACTGTGACACTGGTAATAATGTTGGTTTCACTCTGTAGATTATATATTCATACCTGCCCTTATTTTTATTTTGATGTTTTAAATTTAATGCTTAAAAAAAATACTATATGCCGTATCTTTAGATTATAATCATGTGAAAAGAATTGTGAATGTTCACTAACAAGAATTTAACCCTCTGAGTACTGTACAGTACTATGAACAACTTTAAGAATTTTGTTCCGGCATATGCCATATGATTTTACTCAGCTGAGGAGAACCCTTAGTAATCACTGGGTTAAGTCTATTTGATAAAGCAGTGCCCCAGGAAGATGAGGGGTTTTCACTCAGATATGTGGATTATGTTACTTTTTAGTCAACCTATAAAATGTATTGTAGTTAACTTCTTTCAACACTATCATCATTTTCAAAATACTAATACACCTGCATGGTATATCTTACTGTGTATCTATTCCACTCACAGCCATGTGTGCTAGTTTCTCAGAAGTGGCAGGTACTGTATACTGATGCATTACTTCTTGAATAAAATATAAAAATGGTCTGAAACTAAGGCTCACATCACTGTTATTGGTCATTATATATTTTATGTTTTTATATATAGTAAGCATAATTATATAACACATATATAAACATTTAACTAGAATAATAAATTATTATATGAATCTCTTTCTCATAAATTATATTTATAAGGATCAGGTGTTGGGTGCTGTGTGACAAATTGGGTAATGATATTTACTTAATACAGTACTGTGCACACAGTACTAGATTTATGGTAATTTGGAATTCTTTATAGTATTTGTACAAACATGTTTAGATTTTTTAATATGAAAAACTATTAAGTGCTATACATTGAAATAATATTATGTAGTGTTTGCTGCATGTTCCCATCTATTTGTTAATACATACTGTATCTTGCCTTTTTTCCTTATGTGAAAAATTATCTTTATTCCATGCCACTCCTACAAAGGAAGATATAGATATGGCTAGCAATGTGAACAGAATTTCGCAGTGAAATTTAACCAAATTTGGCATGTAAACTTAACAACAAAATCTCCAAAAATTTTATATGCAGTACCTTTCATCATTATTATCAGTAGTTCTGGCCCATCAGACCTGCTGCAATGATGGCAGGGGATTTAGCCACCTTAGAAAAAAATAGTCTCATTGTTATCCAGTCTGTTAAGTTTGTTACTGGAAACTGTTAATACTGTAGCAATGTAAGTTTGGAAAATGTTCCACATATTTTTATTGAAATTAATTATTTTTAATAGGGTGAGATTATCATAAATCTGTCTCTGACTGATTGTGATAAACCTTGATAGGATGATAATAAGACTGCACAAATTGTTTTTAAGATAGTATAGATTCCTAAATGCTTAATGAACTTACTGCAGATTGAATGATTTAGGCCAATAACACTTTAGTTTTTCTCCCAGAAGCAATGATACATATATTGAAAGAATTATGACCCATCTCATTTATTAACTTTGAAAACCGATGCAAACATCCTAATAAATGAGTCACCACTTTATAGAAAATTATTTCAGAGCACTATCCTGACTAGTGGGAATGGAAACTTGAAGGTGGATTCTTTGTTGTGTTTGACTTTTTTCTAGTAGGTTGTGTAGAGGGGAAGTCTGGGATGAATATATATACAGGGAGTCCCCGGGGTACGAACGGATTCCGTTCCTGAGGACGTTCATAAGTCAGAACACATGCTATATGCATACCGCACTTACAAAACAATGTTTAAAATCCCACTACAGTATATCATAGCCTAAGTCCTTATATACATCTAAAATCACTTAATTCAAGACAAAAAAAGATATAGAATGACAAAATACAGTAAAAAAAAAGTAAAAATTAAGTCGTCAGGTAAATAAAATATACAGGTACTGTAAATTTCAAATTTAACCTTGTTTGTATCAGCGGGCATTCGTAAGTCGGATGTTCGTAAGTTGGGGACCTCTTGTATAAATAATGGTTGCCTCTGGTGTAATGAGGATGGCCGGCCCAAGGGCCACCTTGGTGTGAATTTGTCGCCAACACAACAACCACTCCCTGAGTTAACGAGCTGCATGACCCAGTGTCAGGGAATAGTCCGAGAAGACCGGACAACTCCACAACTGCACTGGCTAACCATTACCTCGGAATACTATCCGCAAATCGATTAACATCCAGGTTCCCAATTACTGCTGGGTAGACAGAGGCAAAT